AGATCCGCCTGCCTCTGCCTCCCAAGTGCTGGGACTACAGAAGTGCGCCACCACGCCCGGCTACTGCTTTTAATATTTTTAAATTTAATTTTTAAAGCCTTTTAAATTTTGCAGGCTGTGCATGGTGACTGGCACACACCAACCCAGGGGAAGCCAGAGGATCTCTGTGAGCTCCAGGCCAGCCAGGGCTCCTTAGTGAGACCTGTCTCAAAACAAAATGACAAAACCCACAAAACAAAAAACTGAACTTTAAAATGGTGAACCTGCTTTTAATATTTTTAAATTTAATTTTTAAAGCCTTTTAAATTTTGCAGGCTGTGCATGGTGACTGGCACACACCAACCCAGGGGAAGCCAGAGGATCTCTGTGAGCTCCAGGCCAGCCAGGGCTCCTTAGTGAGACCTGTCTCAAAACAAAATGACAAAACCCACAAAACAAAAAACTGAACTTTAAAATGGTGAACATGATCATGAATTACTAAAGTGAATTCTGTCATTTGTTCCTCTTTTCAACAGTGGCGATTTTTGTCCTGTGTTCAGTCTGTCTCTTTTTGCTCCTAGGAATTTGATCATCACTGCCCCTGGGTGAACAACTGTATTGGTCGCCGAAACTACCGCTATTTCTTCCTCTTCCTCCTTTCCCTGACAGCCCACATCATGGGTGTGTTTGGGTTTGGCCTCCTTTACGTCCTCTATCACATAGAGGAGCTCTCAGGGGTCCGCACAGCTGTCACGTATCCTTCAAGGCCTTCGGGTTGTGGGACTGGAGTGGGGAGTGAAAAGAACAATTGAGTCTTGTATAGTAAGGTTAAAGGGAAGTGGCCACAGTGGAGCTGGGGAAAGTCAGGGAACATTGCTCTGCTTTCCTTGACTGTGTGGCATCAGAATGGCAGTGATGTGCGTGGCTGGCTTATTTTTCATCCCTGTAGCTGGCCTCACAGGATTTCACGTGGTGCTGGTGGCTAGGGGACGTACAACCAATGAACAGGTACAGAGACACCTGAGATACCTGAGGAGCATGTCTCAAGCTCTTATAATGAATAGCATAATACTTTCACAAATAGAGCCTTAAGGAATATTTTATATGATGAAGTAGAGGTTAGTGGTAGTGGCGAAAGTAGGCCTAGGTCCTCAATAAGCAGAATTACAGCTGGAAGTGGGGGTATACATCTGTAATATCAGCATTCAGAACGTGGAAGCAGTAGGACTGAGCTACTTAGACCCTCTTTGCAAAAAGAAAGAAAAGCCTTAAGAAATGGCCTGTTCTCATCTTTTAGCAAATATTTAGTCTGTGAATTTGTAGAAACAGGCCTTAGGAAGCTCATAGTTCTGCTAAAAGATGTTTTTATGCACATAATAATAGCTAACCTTAATTGCTTAGTCTTCTCAGCCTTCCGTTATCTATGGATCCACCAAAATGTAGATGAAATAGACTTGAGGAAAAGCACATTAGAATGCATGCGTTTTTTTCTTGTCATTGTTCACTAAATAATACACTGTATAACATAAGATATAGTAACAGTAGTGTAAGTGATGGAGAGATGAAATAAAGTAGATAAGATGCCCATGGATTATGTGTACAAACTATGCCATTTTAAATTAGGGAATTCAACATCTGTATTATTTTAGTCAGTAGTCAGAAAGTTACTCCATTTTACACAGGAAACTGATGTTGAGGGTCAATTTTCATGAGGTAGACCTAGGATTTGAACTGAGGATACTGACTCTAGAATCCTTGTTCTTATCACAGGTACCATTTTATATTCCCCAGATAGTGGGTCAATAAAAATTTGCATTTTGGCATTTGTTGATCAGGGTCCCGTAGACTCACTGATGTGGTCCTTTTTATCTTCTAGGTTACGGGTAAATTTCGGGGAGGTGTGAACCCCTTCACCAATGGCTGCTGTAACAATGTCAGCCGTGTCCTCTGCAGTTCTCCAGCACCCAGGTAAACTTAACATCTTTGGACTAGTCATTTTTTGGTCAAACTTTGTCTCCTATGGGCCTGTTCTGAATAGGGAAAGTCTAATGGGAAATGACCTTTTAGGAAGGGTTAGTGCTACAAGGAGACATGCCTATCCTTTGGTGGACCCTATGAGTTCAATTGGTAGTATTTAAATGTGGCTAAATACCTTAGATAGTTGAGGATGAGTAAAATTCAACTGCAGGGTTCCTTAGAAAGGCCTAATAATGCCTTCATATGTTCATTGAATCAAATCAGTTTAGTATTAGCTTTTACAGTAGACTTTTTAATTAATTTTTAATTGAACTTTTGTGAATTTATCTTATATTTTGATTATATTTAGATCCCTTTCTGTATCTGCAAACTGCCCCCCCTCGTCACTAACCTCCTACCAAATTACTCGTGTATTTATTTATTTATTTATTTATTTATGGCCTATAGAGTTAAGGTTTGTGTCCCCATATGCCTTTCATCCACTGGAGTCTTAAATGAGACTGAATCTCCCCTTCCTAGCAGCCATCAGTTGTCAGTAATTCCACAGATAGGGTTGGGTTTTCTTACCCACTTCCCCATATCTGTGCTGAGATTTTGTCTGGCTTGAGCTTATGTGGGACTTGTCCATGCTGTCACCATGGCTGTGAGTTCATAGGAGTAACTGACAGCTGTCTGGAAAACTGTTTCTTTGTGGTCATACGCCTCCTCTGGCTCTTAACAATCTTTCTACCTCTTCTTCTACAATGATCCCTAAGCCTTGGGAGGCAGAGGTTTGATATAGGTATCCTATTCAGGGATGAGCACTCTGCAGCCTCTTGTTCTCTGTGTTAATCTTCTGTATAAGGGCGCTTCTCTGCTGAGAGTTGAGAGATGGATCAATCAGGGCAGGCCTGACACTAGACTTTTTTGATGCTGGAGATTAAACCCACAGCTTTATTGTTTATCATTGAGCTATACCCCAGTCCATGACTATTTATTGCATTTGCAAAATGTTTTATACTTAGTACACAACTAGTAGTCATTTTTGAATGAGATGAATAAATCAAAGCCTTCTCATTCTTGATACTCAGGTATTTGGGGAGACCAAAGAAAGAGAAGACGATTGTAATCAGACCTCCTTTCCTTCGACCAGAAGTGTCAGATGGGCAGATAACTGTGAAGATCATGGATAATGGCATCCAGGGAGAGCTGAGGAGAACTAAGGTGAGAGTTAGGAAAGTAAAGCCAGGTAGGTAATCTGGGAAATTTCACCCATGGCAGAGATGGAAGCTTGACTTGAGTATACATCTTTCCTATAGGATCACTCACTGGTTTGTGCTAAAATCACTTAAATACAAATCTGTTCTCCATTCAATTTTAAGTTCAGTGGTAGTAGATCTGGAGTCCATTTCCATGTCTTTATAGGACATAACATCTTGCAGGTGGTAGGACCTCAAGTAGTTAGTTGTAGATAATTAAAAATAAGCAAATAATTGGCCAAATTAGATCCTTTGGAAACTTTATTATCCCTAAACTGACTTTTGTTCCAGTTTAGAAACATAATTGATTCTCCAATATTTCTCTTATATCTTAATGTTACCTTAATGCACAATTTACCAAATCTAATATTCCTTTTCCTCATCTATTCAGTCTAAGGGAAGTCTAGAGATAACAGAGAGCCAGTCTGCAGATGCGGAACCTCCACCTCCTCCTAAGCCAGACCTGAGCCGTTACACTGGGCTGCGAACACACCTCAGCCTAGCTAATGAGGGTAAGGGCTGCCTTGATCGGTGAGATCCTAGAAATGTAACAAAGAAACAAGGATACTCCTGTGAGCTGTGAAGAAAATAAGCTAGGGCTGGGAGATATTACTTATATTGTGACTTAGAATACTCAACAGGTGGTATTTTTCTTCAGATAGCTGGAAAAGGAAGGGTACCATTTAGAATGAGCAGTGAATTAAAAAAATCCTCTTGTAGGGGCTAGAGAGATGGCTCAGTGGTTAAGAACACTGGCTGTTCTTGCAGAAGACCCAGGTTCGAATCTCAGCACTCACATGACAGCTAACAACCGTTCCAGTTCCAGGGGATCCTACGGCCTCTTCTCTCCTCCGCGGGCATTGCATGACATGGGTGCACTTACCTACATGTAGGCAGTACACACATACACATAAAAATATTTTTTTAAAATCCTATTGTGTGAGCCAGAAGCAAGCGGATCTCTGTGAGTTTGAGGCCAGCCTGATCTACGTAGTGAGTTTCTGGCCAGCTGGGGTTACAGGGAGACCCTATCTCAAAAAAAAAGAACCCCAGGAAGATTGAGAACAACATGTAAAGTACTGTCTGTATTTTTTCCTCCCTGTAGATAGCAGCCTCTTGGGCAAGGACAGCCCCCCTACACCTACCATGTACAAGTACCGGCCAGGTTATAGTAGCAGCAGTACATCAGCTGCCATGCCTCATTCCTCCAGCGCCAAGGTATTGTGCATTCTGAGAAGTGGGGTCGTAACAGATGCCAGTGCTTAGGGAAGGTAAAAACAGAAGGGAACAGAAGAAAACCAGGGGCATTTTATTAATTGTTAATAAGTGTAGCTGAATTTCCTTGTTTTTGTTTTTCATCAAAGAAGGAACAATGTAGCATAATATATAAAAGCACTAATTAGTATCAGATCTGATTTCAAAACCCAATTCTGCCAAGTTACTCTCTGTAAGCCTCATTTCCTACATCTTAAAATATTTGTTTGAATTTATAGGTTGGCTTTAAGGGGTAAATCCTCTAGTGTCCAAGTTTGCAGTTTATTGCTGGTATAGAATCCTGTTTTTAGGATTCTATAAAGTGACTCTTTGGGCTCTGGTGCCTAGTATCTGTCAAAAGAGGAGTACTAAGACTGTTTTACTCTCTTCTCCAGTTGAGTCGGGGAGACAGCTTGAAGGAGCCAACCTCAATTGCAGAAAGCAGCCACCATCCTAGCTACCGCTCAGAGCCCAGCTTGGAGCCAGAGAGTTTCCGGTCTCCCACCTTTGGGAAGAGCTTTCATTTTGATCCACTGTCCAGTGGCTCACGTTCCTCCAGCCTCAAGTCAGCCCAGGGCACAGGCTTTGAGCTGGGCCAATTGCAATCCATTCGTTCAGAGGGCACCACCTCCACCTCCTATAAGAGCCTGGCCAATCAGACACGCAACGGAAGTCTGTCTTACGACAGCCTACTCACTCCTTCAGACAGCCCTGATTTTGAGTCAGTACAGGCAGGGCCTGAGCCAGATCCACCTTTAGGCTACACCTCTCCCTTCCTGTCAGCCCGGCTGGCCCAGCAACGGGAAGCCGAGAGGCACCCACGTTTGGTACCAACTGGCCCAGCGCACCGAGAGCCCTCACCAGTCCGTTATGACAATCTGTCACGCCACATTGTGGCCTCTCTCCAGGAACGAGAGAAGCTGCTGCGACAGTCACCCCCGCTTGCAGGCCGTGAGGAAGAACCTGGCTTGGGGGACTCGGGCCTTCAGTCAACACCAGGCTCAGGCCATGCCCCTCGTACTAGTTCCTCCTCAGATGATTCAAAGAGATCACCCTTGGGCAAGACTCCACTGGGACGCCCAGCTGTCCCCCGTTTTGGCAAACCAGATGGGCTAAGGGGCCGGGGACTAGGGTCCCCTGAACCAGCCCCAGCTGCCCCGTACCTGGGCCGATCAATGTCTTACAGCAGCCAAAAAGCCCCAGCAGGTGTCTCAGAGACAGAGGAAGTGGCACTGCAACCATTACTGACACCCAAGTAAGTATTTCTTTTATCCTAGCCCTCAGCCAATTTAAAATTAGCATGCTGCCCTGCAGAAGGCATCAAGTCTTTGGCTGCACATCATTCTAGTATAGATGAATTGTGGGACAGCCTGAGAACTCTGTTTTCATGTTCAGTTGACTTCATGGGCAATTCTTTGGAGATTGAAGATTGATAATTTTCCCTTAATACTCTCTTCCTGAAAGTGTTATTTGTCAGAGAGTAAGCATATAAATAGCTGTTAGAGAGGAAGACATTGGGGAGAGAAGTAATCAGTCTTTATTAGAAACCATGTCAACTGTTAGGGAAAATTAATGGGTTATGTGGCAAAGTCCACTCCCCCAACTTTTAATTTCTTGTGTTCTGTATCACCTTGCTGATATCTGTTTCTTCTTTTTTTCCCCAGAGATGAAGTACAGCTCAAGACTGCCTACAGCAAATCTAATGGGCAGCCCAAGAGTATAGGCTCAGCCTCCCCTGGCCCAGGCCAGCCACCTCTCAGTAGCCCCACAAGGGGAGGAGTCAAGAAGGTGTCAGGGGTGGGTGGTACCACCTATGAGATTTCGGTGTGAGCCTTGGGCGCCTCCCCTCTCCCATGCCTTTGCGCCTACACCAAAGGGCCCCAGGTGGCCACCTTCCTTCCCTCAAGGGGCTCCCCTCCCTTGCATGGACATTTTTTAAACCACGGATTCTGAGAGAATGAGGAATGTTTTATAAAATGCCATGGGGTTGAGGAGTTGGGAGTTTGGGCCCTGAGACTGGGTAGCAACCCCCTTTGACCTTTTAAGACCTTCCCTTTCTTGATCCCTGGACCAGACTCAGTGGACATTTGTGCAATTGCTCGCCCTGGAGGGAACCAGATCATTTTTAAACCAGAAATAATTTTTTTTATTATTGTTACGGATTCTATTTTTTTCCTCTTCTGCGTTACCAGGTGTGTGTGTACATATATATATATATTATAAATATCAAAGAAATTATATATCTATCCTGGGATGGGAAAATAAGGGAGGGATATATATAGGGGAATTTCATTCTTCCCTTTCCTCAGACCAGCAGGAAAAGAGAGACATCAATGTCCACTTCATTCTTCCCTTCCCTCAGACCAGCAGGAAAAGAGACATCAGTCTTCCTTCTTTCCATGGTTCCCTCTTTTGTCCCAGTTATCAATGAAGGGAATAGCACCTTCTGCTGGTTGATAAGTGATAAGTGATTAGGAAAGAAACCTGGGGAGAGGTGAGTCTGGGGTCTCGGTCAGATATGGAGAGGATTAGGAGAGGAGAGTTCGTTTTCTAGGCTCATTGACATCTAGTTTCCCCAGGAAAGGTGTTCCACGACATTGTAGGGGGAGGGGATCAGGAAGAGAGCTTGGCCTAAAGAAACAACATTTTGCAATCCCCCATTTTTGGGCAAGAGATTATGGTGGGCTTCTTCAGTGAGCCCCCTCAAAGCTTCCCTTTAGCTTACAGAGTTAACGTGACTTTAAAATCGAAGGCAAGGAGAGAAGAATCCAAAAAGCAATATTTTTCATATGCCAAAAATGGGATGGAGAGAAGGAGTGGCAGGCCTAGGCCTCTCCGGTTGTCCCTTGGGGGTTACCCCTTAAGCCCACCTCGGTATGGTGCTGGGTAGAGGGGGTACCTGGGTTCTAACCTCGAAATAGGGAAGACCCCAGCCTCTATACAGAGGCCCTTTTATTTTTTATTCTGACTAGCCATTTTAAACCAACAAAGAATAAAAAATCCTGATCTAACCAGCTCCCCCTGACTTGTGTTGTTTTGTCTGGTTAAGGCAAGGTGAATGTTCTTGTGAGAAGTTATGAGGGACACTTCATTCTCTGGTCCCAGAAGGAAATTACAACAGGTGCTGTTTTATTTGGGTGATTTAATTAAAAACCTGAAAAATAAACCAAAAACACCAGTCTGCAAACATCAAAAAGTCCTGTCGTTTAAAAGCTTAGATAACTCTTGTGTCAGTTATTCCTTAATTTTGTCTCCAGAAAGTAAGGTTCCTTTTGGATATAGCCCAAGGTGAGATAGTCATAGTGTGGAAGTAGCAGTTTTAACTCAGCACGTACTTCTCATCAAAAGCAAGAAGCTGTATCCTAATTTTAAATAGGCACCCTTAGGGGCTAAACCTCAGGAAGCTGAGAGCCCTTCCTTTTCATTCTCTATAACCTAAGAAAACTTTGTTTTTTGGCAGGGTTTTACTCTGTAGTTCAAGCTGGCCTTGAACTTTTGGCAGTCCTGTCTCAGCTTCCAAGTACTAGGCAGGCCTAGGCCTCTCCGGTTGTCCCTTGGGGGTTACCCCTTAAGCCCACCTCGGTATGGTGCTGGGTAGAGGGGGTACCTGGGTTCTAACCTCGAAATAGGGAAGACCCCAGCCTCTATACAGAGGCCCTTTTATTTTTTATTCTGACTAGCCATTTTAAACCAACAAAGAATAAAAAATCCTGATCTAACCAGCTCCCCCTGACTTGTGTTGTTTTGTCTGGTTAAGGCAAGGTGAATGTTCTTGTGAGAAGTTATGAGGGACACTTCATTCTCTGGTCCCAGAAGGAAATTACAACAGGTGCTGTTTTATTTGGGTGATTTAATTAAAAACCTGAAAAATAAACCAAAAACACCAGTCTGCAAACATCAAAAAGTCCTGTCGTTTAAAAGCTTAGATAACTCTTGTGTCAGTTATTCCTTAATTTTGTCTCCAGAAAGTAAGGTTCCTTTTGGATATAGCCCAAGGTGAGATAGTCATAGTGTGGAAGTAGCAGTTTTAACTCAGCACGTACTTCTCATCAAAAGCAAGAAGCTGTATCCTAATTTTAAATAGGCACCCTTAGGGGCTAAACCTCAGGAAGCTGAGAGCCCTTCCTTTTCATTCTCTATAACCTAAGAAAACTTTGTTTTTTGGCAGGGTTTTACTCTGTAATTCAAGCTGGCCTTGAACTTTTGGCAGTCCTGTCTCAGCTTCCAAGTACTAGAATTATGGGGTGAACCACATCTCTGGTTAAGTTCTTTCTTGTTAAAAATTTCTAGATTAAAAAGAGCAGAATCAGGAAATAACTGGCTTACAAATACACATATATATGTGTGTGTATGTAGCATGGTACTGGGGATTGAATCCAGGGCCTGTAGTGTGCTAGGCAAGCAAGCTACCACTGAGTATGCCCCAGCTTATTTTGAGACAAGATCTTACTATGTAGTTCTGGCTAGCCTGAAACTTACTATGTAGATCAGGCTGGCTTCAAACTCAGAGAGATCTGCCTGCTGGGATTAATGGTGTGTGCCACCATGCCCAGCCCAACTTTTTGGTTTGGGACACATTCTTATGCTGCACAGGCTGGCCTTAAAACTTTTGATCCTGCCTTAGCTCAGATTACAGGCCAAGCTCATAGCAAGATTTTAATTGTTCTGCATTGCTTAAAGTTAAATTTCACTGGTTCCTGGTTTCAGTTAGCCTGCTACAAAAATTTTACATTTTGATGGCTGACTTAGACTGCTTTTTTTTTGTTGTTATCTTACACGTTTAGAAATCTTTTCACACATCTGGGCATAGTGGCACATGCCTGTGATCCTATCACCTGGGAGGTGAAGACAGTATCTTGGAGTTTGAGGCTAGCCAGGGATAGCAAGACCCTGTGCATCTGTATAATTCTGGCACTTTGGAGTTGGAGGCAGGAGGATCAGGAGTTTATGGTCATTCTTGGCTACACATAGTGAGTTGGTAGACCAAGTAAGAAGCATTACCTTTGGCCAGGTTCACTTAAAAAGTTCACACAGATTGGGAGGCAGAGGCAGACAGATCTTTATGAGTTCAAGGCCAGTCTGGTCTACACAGTGAGTTCTAAGCTACAGGGAGACCCTGTCTCAAAAAGACCGAGGAAAACAACAACAACAAAAAAACCCCCAAAAAACTCAACAGGAAAAAAAAAAAAAAAAAAAAAAAAAAAAGGGG